TGCGCTAGTTGCTGGACAAGATAAGCTTAATCTTTGCTTGTCTAATAGGGATGGGATCATGTACATGACAGTGATGACACCCCTTATTAGAGTATGTATAATCCATAGAGATCAGCAACACTTTTGGTTAAAGTTATTCATTGAACACAAAAAACAAACGTTTAACTGTTGTCCTGACTCCGAATTTTTTTTCTATTTTTTTAGATTCGCCACTGATGATAGAGAACATGGGAGATGGATGTCTTTTGGAATGTCTGTGGTTTAATTATTTGAAAGCTTACTTATACTAATAAATTTAAAGTAAATCAGATCTGTTATAGAATATATAAATTAATGGAAGCATGGTGTTGTAGCATTGTATACAAATATACAGATGGACACACTTGTGGTAAAAATACCATAAAGTTATACATTTTACCTACATTTTCCGATTATAGCAATTTTATCCGTTTTTAATGAGGAACACTAGATATGTTGAGAAGAAAAAGTTAATGGCATGGAGTAATCAAAGGATAATCACGTAAAATCAGTAAATGCAAACCCCTCAAATCCAACAAAAACAATAAAACATTTAAGAATATTTTCTAGAAAAATATATATTCTTCGCTTTACAATAAATCCAAGTTTCTTTTACAGAATTTCTGTTTTTTTGCCGCACTAAAATCCATGGAGAATACTCAAAACCAAATCAAGAAAATGGATCCAAAAACGTTATTTTGTTTACCAGAAGGAGATGCCTTGTTTAATCCACTCAACACCATGTTTATTCAAATGGCTTGCATTCTCGTCTTCTCTCAGTTCTTCTATCTCTTCCTTAAACCCTGTGGCCAAGCCGGTCCCGTTGCTCAGATTCTCGTAAGTGTAGCAAGAAACATTTATATTTTTACAAATATGTTAGAAACTAGTGTCTTGATGATTGTTTTATTCAGGCAGGGATAGTGTTGAGTTTGCTCACAATAATCCAAAAAGTCCACGACTTCTTTCTACAAAAAGAATCAGCAAGCTACTACATATTTTTCTCATTCCTTTTACGTACATGTTTCATGTTCTTGATCGGTCTCGAACTTGATCTTGACTTCATGAAACGAAACTTAAAGAGCTCTATCGTGATAACATTTGGATCATTACTCTCTTGTGGCATAATCTGGATCCCTTTCCTCTGGTTCCTCGTCCATTATCTTCACATCAAACAAGACTTCTTAACATTTTACCTAGCCTTCCTCGTTACCTTGTCCAACACGGCATCTCCTGTAGTCATCCGATCCATCATTGATTGGAAACTCCACACATCTGAGATCGGACGGCTAGCAATCTCCTGTGGATTATTCATCGAGATAACAAACATATTCCTCTACACTTTTGTTATTTCCTACATCTCCGGGACAATGAGTGGCGATGTCTTTGGTTACATATTCGCCACTGGAGTTATAATAATAATCAATAGATTCTTAGCTGCATGGCTCCCGAAACGAAACCCTAAAGAGAAGTACCTCTCCAAAGCTGAAACCCTAGCGTTCTTCATACTTATTTTAATAATCGCGTCGACCATCGAGTCCAGCAACATAAACTCCACGGTGTTCGTGTTTTTCATCGGGTTATTGTTTCCGAGAGAAGGCAAAACGTACAGAACGTTGATCAACCGGTTGAGTTACCCTATTCACGAGTTTGTTCTTCCGGTTTACTTTGGCTATATTGGTTTTAGATTCAGCGTCAGCTCGTTAACCAGACGCCATTACCTGGTTCTTGGTATGACTGTGGCTTTAAGCATCATAGGGAAGCTTCTTGGAGTTTTATGCGCTTGTTCGTTCCTTAGGATACCAAAGAAGTATTGGCTTTTCTTGTCTACTGTTCTTTCTTACAAAGGTCATATGGGTCTGGTCCTCCTCGACTCTAACTTGGTTTACAAGGTATTACAGTTTACTTACTAGAACCAGTTCCGAGCACAGCCGGGTGAAACATTTGCTTTGCATGGCTTTTAAATTGTTGATAATTACTTTGATTAAGATTAGCCTAAAATTGTTTGGTTTATAGTTTCTTCTCTGGTTCTGAATACAACCGGATGAAATATTAGCTTTGATTCTCCAAATTTTAAAAATTCTTATCTTAAATTGCCTGGTCTTTAATTTATTGATAATTTTTTATTAATATTAATCTAAAAATATTTGGTTTATAGTTTCTTATCTGGTTCTAAACAAAACCAGATGAAATATTTGTTTTGATCTCCCGAATTTTTACAAGTTTTATGCTTAAATTATATGGCCTTTAAATTGTCGATAATTTTTTTTTTATTAAGACTAATCTAAAAATGTTTAGTTTATTGTTTTTTCTCTGGTTCTGAACACAATCTGATGAATGCATAAATTGCATGGTCTTTAAATTGTTGATAATTTTTTATTAAGATTAACCTAAAAATGTTTGGTTTATAGTTTCTTCTCTGTTTACTGATTTTTTTTATATTTACCTATCTGTAGAAATGGTTTACTCCGATAATACATGATATGTTCGTTGCGTCATTGGTGATCACAACTTTGTTAAGTGGAGTAATATCGTCACTATTACTCAAAACACAAGAAAAGGAATTCTCACATCAAAAAACATCGCTTGAGTTCCACGACACCAAAGACGAGCTACGAGTGTTGACTTGCGTCTACGGTGTGCGTCAAGCTCGTGGATTAATCTCTCTAGTCTCTGCTCTACATGGAGTTTCTTCTTCACGCTTCACACCTTATCTCATGCACCTCATACCCCTCCCTAAGAAGCGAAAAACAGAGCTATTGTATCACGAGCTAGACGAAGATGGAGTGAACTTGATCGGTGGAGACGATGAGTTTGGAACCAACGAAGGACTAGAGATCAATGACTCGATAGATTCTTTTACTAGAGACAGAAAGATCATGATCCGGCAGGTTAAACTCGTGGCGCAGATGGAGAATATGCATGAAGAGATCTGTGATGGTACTGAAGATCTACGCGTTTCGATAGTGTTTCTTCCGTTTCATAAACATCAGAGGATCGATGGGAAAACTACAAATGATGGTGAAGTGTTTAGAGATATGAATAGAAAGGTTTTAAAGCATGCACAGTGTTCGGTTGGTATCTTTGTGGATAGAAACATAACCGGGTTTCACCAGCTTCACGGGTTTGAGTCGGTACAACATGTAGCTGCATTGTTCTTTGGTGGTCCTGATGATCGTGAGGCTCTTTCTTTGTGTCATTGGCTTACTAGTAACTCTCAGATTCAACTCACTATCATACAGTTTGTCCCGGATGACTCAAAGGTGGAGAAATTTGTTGGAGATGCGGTGACCAAAGAAAATAACGATGTTTTGTTGGAGATTGTTGGTAATGCTCACACCAAAGACGAAATTGATCGAAGGTTCTTAGAAGAATTTTATAACAGGTTTGAAACTTCTCCATTGCCAATAATTACCTCTTTTTATCGCTACTCTGCTTCTATTTTTTGACATGTTTTTTTTAACTAGAACCGGTTTTGGACATAGCCGGATGAAACATTCGTTTTTATCCCTGAATTTTTAAAAATGGCATGGTAAAAATTGGTTCGGGACAAAGCTGAATAAAATATTGGTCTTCTACTTTCAAAATTTTTGAAAAAAATTATGTAGACACATGCTTCTAAAAACAATTCAAAATTCCAAATTTGTTCAATTTTTTTTTAAAAACTGAAATCTTTAATATATCACCTATGATCCTATATCTTAGGACTGACTCTGCATTTGGCTCTAAATTGTAGACATTTTCTTTTGTTAAGATTATCATTAATATATTTACAGACCCTTAAATCTTTGATCCGGTCCTGTTTTTTTTTTTTTAATACTCCGTTTCTGTATTTTTTTCTAGGCTAGTGCATGTTTCATTAATCGGATTTGCTGTGGTTTGTTTTTGGCAGATTTGTAACGACGGGACAAGTTGGATTCATAGAGAAGAGAGTAAGCAATGGAGTGCAGACACTAACGATTCTGAGAGAGATAGGAGAGATGTATTCACTGTTTGTAGTAGGGAAAAACAGAGCAGATAACCCAATGACGTCGGGGATGAACGATTGGGAAGAGTGTCCGGAGCTAGGAACGGTCGGAGATTTCTTGGCTTCATCAAATATGGATGTAAATGCTTCTGTATTAGTAGTACAAAGACATAGACATTCATTTGATAGCTTTGTAGATGAATAACAAATATTCTTTAGTTTTACACAACAATATTTCCAAGTTCCCAGCTCACTTTATTAGTTTTTTTTTTGCATCAAGATAAACATGACGTTTCTAAACACATGAACAAGAGAGTTTATTATTAAATGTTTAATTCAAAGGCAGACATCACAACTGGTACCCCATCACAAAGAAAATATAGCCGATGCATCAAGATAGAAGAAGTAAAAGCTATATCATATTCTTTACTTATGAAAAGTCAACTTATTATTTACTGTTGCATATCAATAACAATTAATTCATATGTATAGTTTATAACACTGCATGGTTGTTTTCTTGAGATTTAAGCATTGGCTATATTTTCTTTGCATTTGCACAGTAAATGAAGGCTCTTTTTTTTTGTCGACAAATGAAGGTTTAGAACATTTTCAATAGGAAATTCTTATCGGAATATAAGAACATCTCTTAATTTTTAATTAAAAGACTAAGAAAATTGGTTCTTAGTCTTTTTACTTGAAAATTAAAAGATGGATTCTTATATTCCGCTTAGAAACGGTAAGAATTATATTCTTATGGAAACCAGACAAAAAAAAAGCAAATAATAATGTTTATTTTGAGAATTATATCTTGATGGGCCTGAGAGGCCCGATACGGATCGGGTAACGAGTAGCCTAGTCTTGCAGTAATTGACTGTAAACTCAAGGGACACAATCGTAAATTCCGTCTAAGCTCAGTTTCAAAATCTTAAGAAGCGGACTCACTCACCGCTTTCGCCTCACGGAAAATTGCAACGGTCTCGTCGAGTCTCCGGGAAAGAGTAAGCGGAAGATCTGAAGAATGGCGTTCGCTAAGGTAACTTTTTCTCGAAAATTTCTTCAAGATTTTGATTTTAAGAAACGATTTAGGGTTCGGAATCTTTGATAGAAGAGGTTCTTGTTGATTTGATAAAGCCTTAGCCCTTAGGACGGGATTGGATTTGATTTGTAAGAATGCGAATGAAACCGATAGATGTTTAGTTCTTACTTCAGTTACTATGTGGGTTTTGTTTTGTAGGCACCACGACTAAGTAAAGATGATATCTTTGGAAATCGAGGTAAAAGAAGTTATCTTTCAAATCTCTAGAAACACAAAGGATTATAAGAACAACTTTTCTTATTAGCTTTAGAAACTACTCAAAACTAAAGCTCACAATATGTTTCTCTTAGATCATATGGAACACCTCTCCATAAGACCTATATTTATAGTTAAGATAATTCCCTTGAACATGTGGGATATGGAAAACACAAACCTAATCTAATAGAAAACTTC